ATTACTTTTATAAATAGGTACAGATAAAGTTGAATGTTATTATCAATATGTTTGTATGTTGATTTTTATATGTGATATATAATCTGACTCATTTGTTTAGATTTTTTAATAGTGTAAACATAAAGTGAATTTTAAAAAATGCATAGGATGATGTCACATTTACATAATCTCCTTTTTGTTCTTTGACTTTATTTTAAAAATTGATTAGCTTATGGGACATTTGCTGCGTTTGTTATATTAACCAATTAATAGATTGGAATTACTTAAAATGGAATTGTTTCTGTGTTAATGGCCAGTTGATAAAGATTCAGAGTACAGCTCTTGGGTGATAGGGAGGGGACCAATTTTTTGAAACTGATATGCTAAATATAGTTGAAGTTGTTTCCATATAGTTGAAATTAATTTCATGGCATTTTTGTGCTGCTCACTGCAGAGGTTTGATAATAACATTCTGTGAAGTATCCATTGGCCTGTGTACGGTACCAAAGAATGCTGAGTTAGGTTTTATGTGGGCTAATTACAAAGAAAGGACTACCACTCGTCCTGTCGTCCTAGACGTGTGTAAGTGTGTTCTGAATGTGATGGTTTTCCTGAGATACTTGATAGTTTCCTGGATAAAAATTTGTTTGACTAACAACTAGAGTACTAAAACCATTAGTTCTCTAGGACCGTTAATCATTAATTAGGACCATTAATCCAGGACCATTGATCATTAATGTGTTACAGGTAATTATTGTCAGAAGGCTAAGTAGTGTAATACTGGTATTGTGATGAGTTTATTGAATTATTTTTACTTAGTAGATTTTTAATCCAGAAATCAGCAAACTGATCAGTTTTCTAAGTCTTGTCATTGTTTTATAAATAAAATTTTATTAGAACACAGCCATGCCTATTTTATATTTTGTCCATGGCTGCTTTTATGCTTCAGAGGCAGGTTTGAGTAGTTGTAACAGGAACATTAGGCCTGCAAAATTTAATGTTTACTGTCTAGTTCTTCCCAGGAGTTTGCTGACCCTTATTTTATTTCAGCCACATTTCTCTGACTTCTTGTAGGTCTTTGCTGTTTTTCTCCCCCAGGGGTACAGTTAGTCTGTAGCCTGTAAATATTAGTAAGTTACTTGATTATTCAGTGGATTTCTCCCACTAGTTACTGTTGGAAGTTTTCTCAAAGTTCGGATACTATTTTTTTCTTCTCTGACAGTTATGGCTGATTGCCCTCACACAATTGGTGTTGAATTTGGTACAAGAATAATTGAAGTTAGTGGCCAAAAAATCAAACTGCAGATTTGGGATACAGCAGGACAGGAGCGGTTTAGAGCTGTTACACGAAGCTACTACAGAGGAGCTGCAGGTGCACTTATGGTGTATGATATCACTAGGTAAGAGGTGAATAACTTTCAACCTTCATACTTGGGAGTAGAAATCTACTTTGGGTGATGTGGTTTCTTTTTTATTGATTTATGTACTTGTTTGTAATTAGATGACTATAAATGAATTTATTTGGGCATATGGTTACTTTAAGTTGCTGTATGAAACATTGACTTTGTGAAAGTTGGTATTATTGAAGAAAAACTTTAGGAGATGGTGGGTGGAGCTAGTAGAAGAATACAGTTCTGAATAGTAGTATCAGTTGAATAGTTTGAGGGGAAAAGTCTTAAGCCAACTAAAATTTACACCTTCTGGAAAGTAAGGCCAAGCAAAGAGTTAAATATACAGTTTTGCTAATCTAGCATGATGGACTATAAAAAGTTCTTATCCTTTTATCTATTGGCAAAAGGTGCTATTTTGATATATCTGACTTTTTTTTACATTTAGGTGGTGATTTATCTTAAGACTTGAGTAGTTATTCATTTACTTATTCTTTTTTGTCCTGTGAATTAAAGCGACTTAAAATACTACATGCAGCAGGCAGGATTAAATTTATGTCAACATGGCTATTTCTGAAAATTCAAAATATTTGATCTAAAGTAACAAAACTGAACTGTAAAGGCTTAACTTTGGTTTGGGTGTGGTGGCTCATGCCTGTAATCTGAGCTACTTGTGAGATGGAGATAGCACCGTGGTTCCAGGTTAGCCCTGACAAAAATAAAAGTTAGTTATTGCCCATCTCAATGAATAAGGTGAGTGTGGTGGTATATACCTGTGGTTCCAGTTGGGTGGGAGGCCACAGGGAACAGGATCTGATCATGGTCTGAGGCCAGCTGTGGGCAAAAAAATAAAAACCCTACCTGAAAGAAAGGACTGGGGGTCATGGCTCAAGTGGCAGAGCACCTGCGTAACAAGTGCAAGGCCCTGAATTCAAACCCCAGTAACACCCCCTGCCCCTCCCCCACCCCCCCCCAAAAATTTGTGTTTAATAGAGAGCATGGAAAACTATTACTTGATTAGATTCTGTGCTCTGCTGTAACCTAGAAAATACATTGGGTCACCTTTCATGTTGGGGCAAAGTGTCAGTCAAAAGCAGTACGGCTTTTTTTAAATAAGGTGAATTGGGCCAAGTGATAATTACTTTGGAACATATTTCTGTGTGGAAGATGTGTTATGCTATTTCTTCCTGAAGAGTCACAGTGCACATTTGTATGTTAAGACCCTGAGAAGTTCTGTAGTAAATAAATTGCTTACTGTTGGACTTTAATTTGATGTTTCCTAAGCTTATTTTACTGAACACACTTTGAGAAATGCTGTGTTAAAGATAATGGCTGATTATAACTATAGTACAGAAAGTCTCAGTAAATGCTTAGAACTGGATGGTCTTGGCAAAATAGTGAAATAAGCCTCAGTGCTCTTCACTGTGGTGGGCAGTTGGCAATATGATCAGTAAATGGTATTGTGGGGAGATTATTAAAGAACCAGTCCATTTATAGGGAGCTGTCTTAATTTTTGAGTACTGTGTTCCTGAAGACTTCATGTAATTAAAAACTCCATGCATTAGCAGTAAATTTAAATATGATGGTGTGTGCTTAAAATGTAATTGTTTTACTTTCAAACATATTCTTTAAGCATAGTACTGCTAAAAATTTGTCTTATTTAAGTCATCAGGTGGGGAAACAGTCATCAGCTGATGAATAGATAAACATAGTGTAGTATATCTATATGATGAAATGTTTTTCTGCTATCAAAAGGAATATACCAAGTGCTGGTGGCTCACATCTATAATCTTAGCTAGTTGGGAGGCTGCAATCAGGAGGATCGAGGTTCGAGGCCAGCCTGGTTGTGGCAAATAGTTCACAAAAACCCCATCTCCAAAATACTCAGTGCAAAATGGACTTGTAGGTGTGGCTCAAGTGGTAGAGTACTTGCTTTGCAAATGGGAAGCCCTGAGTTTAAACCCTAGTTCCACCACAGGGGGGGAAAAAAAAAGGAATGAAGTATAAATATATGCCACATGTAGGTAAACCTTGAAAACATTATGCTAAGTGAAAGAAACAACACACAAAGACTGCATATTGCGTGATTCTGTTAATGAAATATCCAGAATAGGCAAATTCATAGAGGATTACAAGGACATGGAGGTTAGTGGGTGCAGTGTTTCTTTTAGAGGTCATGTAAATATTCTAGAAACAGATAGTGGCAATTAATACCCAATTTTGTGAATATACTAAAACAGTTAAATTATGGTATATTCATTGTGTCTCTGTAACTTAATGAAAAGGTACTCCAGGCTTTAGGCAGGGGCTTTCTTGACTCTGACGCTTCATATTGTCATTGATGTTGAAGTCATGACACCAGTTTTTTCAGCCATTCTGCCAGTGGTATTCATATCTTCATGGGCTTCTATTTTATCACTTGTTAAATGAGAGATTGATTAATGTTCTTGGTCTATAAAGCAGAAACTTTTTAAAGATTTTACTTTAACACTGCATTACTAATATTCCTCATCTTCATGGGTTTACATTCTGGTTAAATCCATCAGAAGTCAAAAATATTATCACTCAGAAATTCAGTTAATTCCCCAGTAAATCCATTATAAAGTCAAAAATTAAAAGTTGAATCATCTTCTTTGGATTTCTTTGCTGTCTTAGGACTGACTCGGCTAGTGCAGATGAGTCTATATGTTTACAGTCTTGGTTAGTACGGTATGAATCTTCAAAGGATTTAGCTGCCAGGGAAATCAAGAGGACAGAGTTAGTATAAACTTCCTTTCTGATAGCTAGGACTCGAATTTCCATTGGAACATATTAAATGGCTTTTTAAAACCAGTTTTTATGCTGTGTAGTTAATGTACTCTTAACTTAGTAAGCTGGGAGTGCTGGCACATGCCTATAATTTTAGCTCTTGTGAGGTTGAGGCAGCAGGACAGGTTTGAGGCCAGCCTGTCTCAAAAAAGAAGAAAGAGGGCTGGTGGAGTGGCTCAGATGGTAGAGCACCTGCCTAGCAAGCTTGAGGCCCTGAGTTCAAACCCCAGTTTGCCAAAAAAGAAAGATACAGAACTTATCTTTACTTCTAGTTAAAAATTAAAATTTGAAAACAGACATAAAAATGTATTCCATTGAGTGGATCACTGGCTAGGGATCTTGGTACTCCTTTGTCTCCATTTTGCGATTGAAAACCTGGGTGATTTTAATGTTAGTTTTGACTTCAGATTGAAAATTCCTGACTGAGAAGTTTTTAAAATCAGTTTTCTGTGCTCTTTGCTTACTTACTGGTCTGTTTAACTATAAACAATTTTCTTCTGACATGTCATTAACATAGTTGTTGGATATTGAGTTACTTAAAAATAATGAGTTTGGGACCAGGTGTGGTGGTACATAGCTGTAATCCCAGCACTTGGGAGGACTGAGTTGAAGGCCAGCCTGGGTTTGTGTTACATAGTGAGACCCTGTCTCAAAGAAAAAAATTGGGGGCTGTTGGAGTGGCATGCCTGCCTAGCAAGAATGAAACCCTGAAAAAAAAGAAAAGTTTGACTAAAGTTTTGAAAATTATGTGATTGTATTTCACAGCTGTTCTTCAGAGTAACTAGTCAAAGTAAAAATACTGTTACTCAGGATGTATTTATTACACACACACACACACACACACTGCATGCTTTTTTTTTTTCTTGTTTTGAGATGAGATATGGGGTCTTACTATGTAGTCGAGGTTGACCTGGAACTTGTTATGTGTCTTATGCTGGCCTCAAACTCAGCAATTCTGCCTCGGCCTCTCAGTTGCTGGTATTTAGAAGCCGTGTACTACCATGCCTATCTATATTTAAAATATTTATTGAAGTTTGTTTTTATCTGTTTAAATGGCAATTATATGTGGAAGTCAACAGATTCAAACTTTAATTTTTGCAGAAGAAGTACATATAACCACTTAAGCAGCTGGTTGACAGATGCAAGGAATCTCACCAATCCAAATACTGTAAGTTAAATGACATCTTACTATATAGAAAACTTCAGATCAAAGTTAACCCAAACAGGAAAGCCTTTTCCTGGTGAGATTTTTCTATTTGTGTACTGTGAATGAGACAATACTTATTTTTTTATTTTTATTTTCTAGGGTGTTGGGATTTAACGCAGGGCTTTATGCATGCTAGTCAGTCTCTCTACCATGGAGCTACACTCCCAGCCCCAAGAATCTTTATTTTATTCTTAAGTTAATGAAGAAAACAAACGTAACTTTTTTTTTTTTTTCAGTTCTATTTCCAGGTGTTTTCATATTATTTGGCTTTTGTTGTTTTGTGGCTTTAAACAATGAAAGTTATGTCTGGGGTAGTGATCTCATGTCAAGTGGAGACTGTGTAATCTGGCGTTACAATTTTAAGAGAAATCTGCATTAGTTTTTTAAAATGATACAATTGGAGGAAATGGGGCAAAGTGTACAGGGGATCTACTATTTCTTACAACTGCATGTGAATCTGCAGTTTTCTCAATAAAATTTCAAATAAAAATAGAAGGTATGCTGCATGCCTTAAAAAAAGTCATCTTAACTAGACTGGGAAGGTATTTATTGAAATTTTAAAGCCAGCCATCATGCTAAATTCTTCAGTATACAAAGATAAACGTGTATCCTTGCACACCAAGAAGTTACAGTCCAACAGAAAAAACCAGCAGGTGGATAGATAACTGCTGCAAGCACAATGAAAAATGAATTAGAAATAGAGTAACTAGTGCTGTGCTGGGGAGCAAGATGAGCAGGGTCATCTGGAGAAACCAGTTTTATCTGGGTGTGGTGTGAGCTGGGCCCTGAGGCTGAGTAAGGCCTCGGTTGATGGTGTGGAGGGCGTTTCGGGAGCAGTGGGAAGAGAGACACTGAGCTGTGACTACTGGCAGTTTCTTGAGAGCAGTCAAGTGCCTCACTTAGCTTTATACCCCAACACCTAGCAGAAGCCTGGCTAAGTAAACATGCAATCAACAGTAAGACTAGCTCTTGTCAGGGAAAAGCAGTCTAATAACTGAAAGTCAGCACTGTATGCTAGGGATGCTGCCTGCAGTTTGCTTCCATTATCACACTAAACACGCTGTTGGTGCACATAACAAACCTGTAGAAACTGAAAGCAGTCCAGAATAGTGAAACAGTCTGTGCATGCACACTGCGGAACACTGCTGGGCCACATACGGCAACGAATCACTGACATATGCAGCAAGTTAGGTACATCTCACAGGTAAGATTGCATTTATAACAAATTCTCAAAGTAACCAAATTGTAGCACTGAAGAACAGACTCATGGTTGCCAGGGGTTCGTGATAGGAGCGGCAGGTACAGTGATGAGTCCGAAAGCGGGCAGCACAGAGCAGTGTCATAGTAGTGATGGGGAAGTTCTGTATCCTGATTGACACAGATCTGTGCCTGTGATAAAACTGCACAGGACCATACACATGCACAGCCTCACTCAGGAGCATGTAAAAACTGGACTTTAGAGGCTACAGATACACCAATGTCAGTTTTCTGGCTTTGAGATCATACTGTAGTTACATAAGTTGTTATCACTGGGGAAGCTTAGTGAAGGGTACACAGGACTGCTGTATTTTTTACTGAGTGTATTACAAAGTAAACTGTTAAATAAAAATTCATTGTAGAGATCCATGAAAGAATATAGTAAAATAAAATTGGTCTTGTCTTTCTTGCCTCATTTATACCTTTTGAGATCTTAAGAAAAACTTTTGAGATGCAGCTCAAATACTACATTTCTATAAAGTTACCTTTGATTTCTATGTAGAAGTTACATGTTTTCTCATTTTCTTGTGTTAAAAAATATCTCTGTATTAGAGTGAGCATGACACTGTATGTCTTCCTTCTCAGGGATATAGGAAGCCTGGTTTGAAAATTTATAGGAAATTGGGAAGGGGCAATATTTTTCTTTCTTTTCCTGTTTTTGGAGGGTGTGGGAGGAGAGATGTGCTGGGTGGGGACTGAAGTCAGGACTTGTGTCTGCTAGGCAAAGTGCTCTTATCACTGACCTATACCCCTAGCCCAGGAGGCGAGGCAGCATTTCTTGTTTTGAATATCTATCTTATAATGGCCCTGTACCAGACCATTATAATTTCATCAGACTTGATTTTTTTAAAAATTGGCTTCTTTTTAAAGTATCATTATTTTATTCTTTAAATGGCTAGTGGACTATGTATGAACATTCCTTTCCCCTCTAAATGGGCACTTGTTCATACTGATTTAAAGAGGGGTCATTTTTGTTGTACTAGTTAACTATTGTCCTTGCTAAAGATTTACATTCAAGTCAAACGGACATACATTTTTGAAAGTGGAAGAGGCAGGTGCTGTAAACATGAACAAAAATTTAATGGTGGAAGCACCTTTAAATTGCGGCCATCCATTCCCAACGTATTTGTGTCTGGTCAGGGATGGGGGTGGGTGTCCAAAATAAGCTTTTATTTGCTTACATACACACACACGGAGAGGGAGAGTGATTTATTCATAAATCTTCCCTTCTGTCCAAGTAAAGGCCAAATCCTTTGCTGTGTCCTAAGGCCACCTACTTTTTTCTTAAAACTTTGCACTGCTGTCAAACTTTACTTGCATAGATGATTCCAGAGTATATATAGGGATGTGATACTTTGCTTTGGATTTGGACCCATTACATATTTGCCACCATCACATACTTCCAACTTCCTCCCAGTGATAAAACAAAAATTTGTTATTAGTTGGTAAATTTCCTCCTGCCCAGGGATAGTGTAGGGTAGGGAAGTATCTGTAGGTCACAATTTGAATTTTCCACATGGGTTCTCATCTCCTGCTTACTCACTGAGTGGATTTGGCATGTCTGGCTGCCTTATTTGGGCTTTAATTTCCTTACCTGTAGCATAAAGGAGTTGAACTAGTGTTTTTTTTAAAACTTCCTGAGGGTCCCAGAACCTGTTGAAAATTAGATGAAAGTCCTAAATCTTCTTCCTCAGGGAGTGTCCATGTTTACACAATTTCATGCTTAATTTCAGGGCATTCATAGATACTTTCATTAATTTTACTCAGATAAACCATACTCTTTGACCTGGATCAGGTGTTAATACACTGACCTGTGAACCCTATATGACCCATAGCCTGTTTTTTAGTGACTTGCACACAAGAATGTGTTTACATTTTGAAGGATTGTAAGAACAAAAACAGCAAAAATAATATGCAGCCAAGACTATGTTGGGTCCACAAACCTGAAAAAAAAAA